GTTCCGACAACCATTCTGATTTCCAGTCTGCTAAGACTGATCAATCTGCAGGTGAGTCGTGGTGTGACTTGATTCAGCACCAGTTTGGACTGTCTGCAGCCGGGTGAGTTTTTCCACCTCCGGTTGTGTGCTTCACAGGTCCGTTGCCTGACCCAGCATCGTATTTGGTTAACCAAATTGGCAGGAGTGTGGTTGGGCCGGAAGTCGGGGTTGCCGAGCCTCTCCTTGCCAACTCATCTGCGGCATCGTTCCCGTGTGAGTTACTGTGCCCTTTAATCCATTAGAGGAGTACACCATTGAATGTAGCGAGCTGTTCCAGTGCTTGGTGGCATTCGAAGACAATACCAGAGGTCACTGTGTTGCCCTCTAGTGCCTTTAAGGCTGAAATTTATAAAGCGTACTTAGACTTTGCTCAGACTTACCTCACGAGTTAAGTGTGCGTTGAAATTTATAGTCATAATGCTTAGCTCAAGCTGAGCAAATGCTTAGCATAGTCTAAGTCACCAAAATCCATGACTTAGCGATTACTTACGATTAATATGCCAGAGTCAATGTGAAAAGATGGTTCGATTGTCCAGGAAGAAAAGCCGTAATCTAGTTCGAAAGCGTTGTAACAGAAGTCCGTAAGGGTGTGCCAGGGTCAAGATAAAAAGTTAATACAAGAAATTGATATATTTGCGAATGAACTCGAGACGAGACAACCTCAAATATTGTTATGACATTTGACAAGTCAAATATACGTACGTTTTGTTTTACTTGTACATGTGTTATTTTTGCCTTTTATCACTTAAAATCAATGAAAACTAAAGGTGTTAATTGATTGAAACACAATAATATGATAAAATTTATAAGATTACTAATATTTTAGGTTATTACAGCTATTTTAAAAATAATATATTTTTGAAACACCAAGAATTTAAATTAATATGCTATGCAAATCGAAACGTTTAGAAAATTTTCCTGAGCTCTTGCTTAGCATACACTCAGTAAATTCTTAGCCCAAGAGGACTATAAATTCGAATGCTAAGATTACACTGAGCAGGAACTTAGGTAAGTTTAGCGTAAGCAAAGTCTGAGCAAAGTCTAAGTACGCTTTATAAATTTCAGCTTAAGACGGCCATGCTGTCGGATATTATTCGGATGTTGTAGTCCTTGATACCCCTTGACATGGCCGCTGTGGCAGCGTAAGTTATTGTCACACATTCACATTGAAATATGGAACTGTGTCTGCCTAACGCTAATGATATGTTCATATTTAGGTCTTGCGAGAAAACTCCGGCTCCAGTTCCTGACCTAGTCTTGGAACCGTCCGTGTAAATTCGGACTTCGTTAATGCCGGATTGATCTCGGTCATTTCCATGTATCTGGATGTAGTATCTTCTTGTGAAGATATGGTGTTTTGGGATTCTATCGCATGGAGCTGCTATCAGTGGTTCGTATTCCACCAATTGATCCCATAATTTGGAGTGCGATCCCTCACTTTTGTGCCATAGACCCAGGTTTCTGAGTCTAATGATCGCCATGGCGGACTCCTGCTGTATGAATAAATCCAGGGGGGGGCAGACCAAGAGCTACCTCCAGTGCGGATGTATGCCAGTGTCTCCGCGGTGACTAGCTGTATGCCATACAGCTACTAGTGACCGCGGAGCATGGGAGTCGCTGGGATTGCTGCAGTTTATTTATGACGGTGCTTAGCTCTGTTCTCTGCCACCAGACAACAGCACCGTAATTATGACTATTGGTCTTATGACTGTTCTGTATAGCCATAAAGTAATTTTGGGTGATAGTCCCCAGCTTTTGCCGAGTAGCCGTTTGCATTGGCAGAAAATAATGCAGGCTTTATTCAGTTTTTCATCGAGGTGCTTATTCCACAGGAGTTTACTGTCCAGTATTACTCCTAAGTATATGACCTCTTTGGTAAGAGTAAGTTGTGTTCCAAATAGCTAGCGAAGTCTGAGATTTCCTACGTGCGTTTTTTTGTGAACATGATCATCTCTGTTTTCGATGGGTTCACTGTCAGGTTGTGTGCTACGCACCATTGTTCCACGATCTTCAGTGCAAGTCTCATTTGATCGCATGTAACGCTCTCAAAAGGACCGCTGATGAGAATAGTAAAATCGTCTGCATAGCCTATTGTGAGTGTGGGTATTCTTTATGTCCGTTTCATGAATGTTTGAAAAGTCCCCCGCGACACAGGATGTAGGCCTACTGCGCGAGTTGTCTTTAAAAAATAAAAAATAAATGAAACTGCTGAACGGAAGCGGCTAAGAGGGCTGATAACGAGCGAAGAAGACATCGGCTCCGGTATGAGCCACTGACGGGACCGCAGGCCGCCAGAGAGTCCTCCGCCGAGGACCTCTGATGGTGATTAATTAATTACTGCGACACAAAATTTGATCGGGCTGCAACATTTAGGGTAAGGCAGGTATGTCAAGGCAAGGATGTCTTTCCCCGGGATAGGGCCCTATTTAGGTGCGGTGTCATTCCTAAGAGGGAACCTCAAATCACATGGTCTAGGTCATCCCCAGAGTATGCCTCGAGTTGTGTACCGTCCCTTTCCTACTAAGTACTAATTCTTATTTTACTGTTTGAATAACTACTCGAACTAACTATAGGCACAATGATAGATAGCTTAGCGACATCACACATGGTTGGTTAGAAGACAGTCTTAAGACTTTAAGCACAGGAACATTTTGTACGTTACGGATTTTTTTTCTATCAATAAGCTTCAAAAGTCTACCTGCTTGGCCGATGCGAAAATTACATAAAAAATAATAAAATATTCATTCACAAAAATATAATACAATTTACGTAATTACATTTAATGATTCAATAGCAGCAATAAATATAAAGTGTTATATAAATACATGTAATAGGTGCGTTACGACTTATTAAACAGTAACTAGACACGGAGGGAACTATGTATTATTATCGATAAATATATACTTCCTGTCACTTACTATTATATTTATTCCATTCTAGTCTTAAACTATAATATAATATGATGATATGTTTTAATCAGCATAGATAACAATACATGGATGTGCACAAAAAATACAAAAACAAAATTTTCTTACACAACACGATTCGCAATACGCAATAATAAATTATATTTACTGATAGAAAGATATGCAACATAAATCTGCATATTGGTTACATTTGAGGACCACATTGGAAAATAAAAGAAATATGTTTGCAAATTGTAACGTGTTACATGTCAGTTAAAGATACTAAGCTTAGAAAAACACTTTGTGTGATACACAAATCGTTGTTCTGAGTCTGGTGGTTCTAACTGTTCTATGTGTCCGTTTAATATATGTTTCTAAAGTCACACATGGTTGGTTACAAGTGTCAGGCTCACTGCTAAGAGAAATCTAACGACACTGCAAACGCCAAAATTCATCAAGCCGTTTAGGCTACAGAGCATGCCATAGAAATACTACTAATGTTAGGTTTGGCCTTGGTGTATAAATCACTACAACGCAATCCTTGGAGATCAGAAAAATTCAAATAAAAGTAATAAATGGGATATTCCAAAACTATTAAACTCAAGAAACTTTTTTCTCCAACTTAATATAATAATTTGTATTTGCTGGAAAATATATATTTTACAATGAATGAAGGCATTTGATATAAACGACGTCTTTGTGGCAAGTTTTTGAAAGACTAATGGAATATCCGTATTATAAGAAGATGCTGGAAAATGTTGATGGTCACTCAAAAGCTCCGCGTGTCGGGAGACTCTTTGAAGAGACTCTTCAGCCCAGCTTCCCGCAGCAAGTAGTTAACGACCTTTTCTTGCAACAGGCAGAATGCACACGCTCGTTGAAAGCCTCCATGGCTGGAGATAACGGGGAGGAAGAGAAGAACGGGGTCCCAAACGTCACCTTCTATGGATCTGTCACAAAAACACCACCCACAAACCAGACAAAATTCCTACCTGAGTGCCGGCCCAGGCCTTCGACTCTCGTCGTCGTATATCGTCTGGAGATCTGTCGGAGACCCAATTCGATTTTCAAGCAGGGCGTTTGACTATCAATACTATGTTGCGTCAGAGAGCCGTGACCGAAGAGTTAGTGAGCCACGACAGCGTGCTATTGGCGGCGTCGTTGAACATCGCCAACGTATGCAAAAATCTGCCATTCACTGCACCAGGAAAGCGCTCAAATATCACGGGGTGGCAGAGGACTTGAGACGCCTAGTGATAGACTGATAATAGGCACTCCTGCAGGTTGACGTCCCGGTCAAACAACCAGTTTGGACGTGAAGAAACTTGATAGCACTCCGCGGCTACGGCCACACTGATTGACTCCGCCACCATTTGCTGGAAGAGTTGTACAGTGGTTCAGGTGCATCTAGCGAAAGATTTTGGAGACTTGGCTCATTACTGAACCATCTCTACAACCACCTCAATATGAGTGCATGACAAAGACGCATGAATAACGTTAGAGACAGCCTGGTTTGACTGGCCAGCAAGTTTTACGAGAAGCACGGGGAGGCTCGTAGCCTGTCCCATCTGGAGATTAGCAAGCTGATTTCTCACTGGTCACGCTGGGCAGTGAGACGCAACAGAACTTTCCCCTACTTTGTGGCTCGGTCAACCACCTTGGAAACAAAGTTTGCAAAAGTTGAAGCAACTTCTCATTTGGCTCGAATACCGATGCAAAAAAAATGAAGCACCTTGTCGATCTTACCGCCAGAATTATAACTCTGCCGTTCCCCAATATCTGCGTTACCAACGCGAATATCCTGGATTGTAACCAAAACGGTTAGGCCCGATGTATGTAGCTCCAGGTATTTCGTGGGCCTGACGATCTTTGTCCAATCCATTGTTAGGAATATTATCGGCAAAACATTGCATAATATTTTGGAAACTAATTCAATAATACTAAACCACATATGTAGTAATTGATCATAATCATTTAGTACAAATGGATGTATTACAACTTCCATTGTTAAAGTTAAATTTTGGTCATTTTTATGCAGTACAAACATTCACAATGATGTCGGTAATATTTTACTATTTCGGAATTATTATATTTATCTTCAGCTATGATTTGAGTCAGGTAAATATATACTAATTTCTTGTTTGAAAGAGTTAGTAAGAAGGTAAATATAAGTACTACATATTTTTATAGCCTAAAACTAAAACAAAACAGAAAGTTTATATTATTTGCCCATTATAAACTTTAAGTAATACCGTAATATATAGCAGTATAGTATTATAGATATATATATATGTAATACTTATTATAATATTGTGGGTTATTGTTGCTTACGAATCTGTCCAATAACGTACCGTGCATAATTTTCCGTGCTTATTGTTTATACTGTATGTTTAATTATGTTCATAGCTGTACCTTTTAAATATCTCCTTGACTCTTTCCTGTGCTTTGCTAATATCTGTGATTCTTGTGTCTGTAAAAAGACTGTATCTGCATTCGAGCCCAATATCAATTATGCGTTCGGATAAGAATTACTAGTTAACCCAGTCTATCGCATTTTAGAAGTACAGGAACCTCGTGTAGCTCTCATAGGCTTCTGAGAACGACCTAGTACCACTCGCATTTTACTAAACTATTCTAAGCGTTCCTCTTAAATGAAAATTAAGTGGATTATTTTCGTTAGGAATAATTTAGTTATGAAGTTCAAAGTTGAGCTTATCAGATCTATGTATTTCAAAACTTATTACTATTCTCTCTGACGTGGTGAGATTATATATATAATTTATTTGTAGGTTTTTTCGTAGTTTTAAGGAGTTAGTTGAGTTTTTATTTATACATCTGTGGTGGCTTCAGTGGTTTGAGTAATGTCAAAAGAAAGAAAAACACTAACATGATCTACATTTTAGTGTTTCAGATTGCAACTAACTCCAGGAGTCCCGATGGTCAGACAATTTGATACCAATTATGTGGAAGATGTCATATTAAAAACGAGACGAAATGGAAGGAGAAGCGAATACGTATTCAGTATTGAATTTACTTCTAAACACTTCTGGGCTAATAATAATGTTTCGGTAAGATATAACATTAACTACAGACACCTTCCTTTTAAACATACGTAAAATATTAATCATGAAGCCAAGAAAATTCTGAAAAGAGGATTTAAATTTAAAGTTTTTCATAACTAAGTTTTTAACAGCAAGCCATTAAAGTATTGAAATTAACTTATATTCAAAAAAATAAAATAGGTTGGCTTTCCACAGTTAGTTTACATAACCTAGAGGTTCATGTTCCTAGAGGTTCATGGAGCTATTTATACAAATTGTATTAAGTTTGAGCTCTGGCTACCGCTACCGCTTTTTTGCCTTGTTTCCACTCTTCGTATTCATTCATTTTAACCTCCTTCATTCTCTCCCTTGCCTTTTCAGTTTTGCACGCTTTAAAGAAAACCTTTTTTTCGTTTAGACATTTCTATATCTCATCACTCTACCACCATGTATCTCTTTTAATTATGCCTTTTTCTTTCGTTACCACAAATAGAGCAGTATTTAGAGCAATTTTATCTTTCCTATAAAATTTGCATTTCACTCCAACATCCATCCTCAGACTTATCTGGCGTTACATGCATTTCAACTCATTTCTTCTACCAGCTTCACCTTTAAGTTACTTGCATTCTTTTCTATCTCTAACAGTCGCCACCTGATTCTTAGAGGTCGGTTCTACCTTCTCTTACTAAAAACCTTCCATTTGGCAATCTATGTTGCCATACCACGGGTTCTCCGGGAACCACTTTTCAGTCTCTGCGCAAACCAACTTCCACAAAATTAATTTTTCTTTTTTTTTTCATAAAACATACCATAATATTTACTATTAAATTATATTTATATCGCAATCTATCTAAAGTAATTAAATCTTGGCTGACAAAATGCGATGAGGTGCCCTACATGATTTAAAATAGGTCCTACACTTTATTTTGAGAACACAAACTAGTACAGCTCAATACAATGTACAACTTTATCTCATTACAATTTTGATGTATAGCTCTATTTTTTTTAAATATTTAAGTAATAAAACACTATTAAATATCAAGTTTAAACATAATATATGTAAAAAAAAATTTGCTTTTACTTCGAAATTTACTTTTTCTCCTTACAGCTATATATATATATATATTTAACTTTCTATTATAAAAATACCATATTGTCCATAATATTTTCTTTTTATAGTTACACTTTATTTTTTACGAGTACCTCCATAATGAGTACAGACCATCGTTTGTGGAGATGCATTACAAAATCTGCGACCTCATATTAAAAGACATGCTTCTTGGACCAGTAGTGAGAAAGGCTGGCATAACCGTCTGTCCATTACCTCCGGTAAATATCCACTAGAATCATATTCTTATCATCTACATTGCCATCACGATTATTATATATTGTGGTTTTTTTTCAGGGAAGATATCGCATGATGAATATGACATTCAACCGAGAATTCCCCTCTGTTTGGCCGTTCGAAAAAGGAAAATGTGAAGAAATTATAAAATTAGAACCTAGTGGAAAAGATATTGCTAGAGGCGACCTCGTACTCTCATTTAAAATGCTGAAAACATGATTTTCTGATATATAATGATATTTCTAAAGATGCTGCATATTTCTAACCTACCTTTTTTATGGTAGTTTTTAGAGAACAATTGTGTTTTGGAAAATTTCGTGAAATAAGCTTTATAACGGATGCTGTTATATTTAAAAATGTATTAAAAGCAATAAAAATATATTTGTTTATTTTAACTATTCTATCTTAGATTGCTATAAACGGAAAAAAGCTACTACTCTTATGCACATACAACTCAAATTATAAAGCAAGCAAGGCGAGAGACAGTAATTTCTAAGCGTGAAGTTTTAGCCAAAATATCAATATTGTCAAGTTCAACCATACACATACATACGTTGGATCGTAGTCACATCACATCACAAAAGTAGACGCTTATTCTTGTTATATAATATACTGATATTGTTCACGAATATGGTATGTAACGAAGATGAGGCAGATTGGGATGATTCCAATGTGCTAAAAGAGTGTAAACGTGAAATGGAAAAAATCAGTTCAAATGCGTGTGTTAAAAAATTATATAATACAAGGAATAGTGAAAAAAAACTTTAAGAAAGTTGCGAAGAAGGTTTTATTACAGTAACGCGAAATCATAGAAAGGCACAAAACTTGATAAGGAGTAGTTCTAATAAAAGAAATAATTCAGAATGTTCTATGCAACAAATGAATACTGAGGGTACTTGTGAAAAACATGAAGTATGTTTAACATCGTTGTCAATTTTACCTAAACAAATGGCTCTTGCGAAGTTATTGCAGAAACAAAATATACAAGGTATAATGAAGATTAAATATAAAGTTCCTTATAAACTATTCATCCAGTTTAATGATATGCAGCAGGCCGAAAAACTCATGGAATATGAAAAATTTAAGGAACTTGATATTCGAATACAGTTAACTACTGAACTAATGTTTTCTTATTATAAAAGGAATTGACTTGGATATGTCTAAAAAGGAAATTATAGACTGCTTGGCGAGTACATGTTAAATTATTTCCGCCAAAAGGCTAAAGCGCAGAGACCTTAAAGGTGTGTTGGTGGACACTAAAACAGTAAGAGTATGTTTCAAAAGTTCTATTTGCCCGGAGTATGTTTATGCTTTCGGATGTCGTCTTCCTATAAAACGTTTTATATTTCCTGTTATCCAATGCTCCAACTGTTGGAAAGTCGGTCATATTAAAAAAAATGACCAAATAAAAATATAATTTGCCCAAAATATGGGCAACATCATGATAATTGTGAAACTCACTTGCGTGACCGCCGTGACAGGACCTCATATGGCCTCATAGGACCTCATAAACAAATTGTGTCCGTTATACTAAGAAGAAAAAAAGGTACGTTTTATTATGAGTGAAGAAAATTAAACAATATAAATTAGCATTAGAACGTCTTCTAAATGTGGAATAAGAAGAAAAAAGGATTTATCAAGAAAGTAATAGGTCAGTAGTCGTAGAAAAACCACATTTTTTGAACTCTGACGATTTCAGTGAGAGTGACATCACATGTCAAGTGTAGAATTTTTCGCTGCTCACTCGGCAATATAGCGAGGTGGTTAAGAAGAGTAAACAAAATTTTAAGAAGAAAACAACGAGGCTACCAGGCAGTTTGAATGTGATGTCACAGGAGAATGTGGTATTTTTAAGAGATGATTCATATAAACAGAAGAAAATAACAGTGAAAGAAAAGAAAGAAGTACGATATTGCAGAACTTGTTATTAAAAACTAGAGAGCTTATATACTTATATCCTTTTAAAAAAAGTGAAACTACTTACAAACAGTACTATGTCCAGGAATGCCCTATTAAAGGCTGAATCATGCATTATTTTAATTGAAGGCTGAAATTCATAGTAGTCAAAACACAGGGACAGTTTGATAAGACAGTGTGGCAGTGAAAGAATAAAAAAGTTTGTGAATAATTAAAGTACTTTGAATAGTCAGGAGTAAAGTAATAGCAGTAGAGTAGAGAAGATGAGACCAAAGACTCTTTTTCAATCGTTTTTTATGTGTTAGAGATACTTTATATAATTTTAATTGCGTTATTTAGCGGCAGCAATTTATATACCAAATATTATTCAAACATATTATGTTTAAAACGAATGTTACGGCTAATTACACACAAACTAGATTTGAAATTATAACGTTTTGTATTATTTGTGCATGGTACTCATGGACATATACATCATTTGGTTAGTGGTATTTAAACTTTTGTCTTGCAGCGGTCTTGTATACAAACTATAAAATATAAATATGTACACATATAATCATTAGCAATACAATAGATAAACAAATATTTGACAAAACTACTAATACTAATATTTACTACTTGTACATATTACAAGTAAACAAAAAAGTATTATATTTAATTAATTAGTAACTAACCGATAGGCCGACATGAGCACAATGATTACGGAATCAACTGCTCACATACATATCTCGACCAACTCTTGTACTTAATCTACATGATAAGCTTTGAGATCATTATCCTCTATAATAATATTACAAGTAAATAATTTCTTTATAATTTTGGCCTATTTTGATAGTGATAATCCTTCACCGATCGGTAACCAATGCATAGTATGAATTTTTGTAACTGGATTTGGGCACTAGCTGACACCTGCGGACTTTAAGCTCACTGTGAAAAATGTGCTTCGGCAGTCATTCATCCAGTTACTGATAAACATGTCCTCATTAACCGATCAACGCACATGGAGAATTCTGAAGCGCGCCTATTCTCAATAAAATAATCTAATGACATCTCGTACTATGAAAGCTAGATTGACTGATAGTATACTTTATACTTTTTTTTTCGTATACATACATATTATAAATAGAAAACATCCAAACTCCGAAACAACTATTTACATATCATAAAAACATTCGCACAAGTTACCACTGCACCACCGAAGTAGTCAAACAGTCAGTCATCATTACTACATTATGTTAATATAGCCTGGAAGACATATTAAAGAAACATATTGTGCATTAAGTAGTAAATAAAAAATTCCTTCAACACCAATAGTTATACAGAAGTTTAAAAATCCGGACAAGTGCGAGTCGGACTCGCTAACCGAAACCACCACCGCGAATACCTAAAACCGATCGAAGTGGCGTGCAATAGGAGAAGCCCATATCATAAGTCGTGATTTAATTTTGTTGACAAAATGAGAACATCATTGCTTATAAAATAAGGACCTTAGTAAGTAAATTTACCTGTTACTTAATAGTGAAAAGACGCTGATCCTAACACATAACTTGAAAGTCAATTTCGTTTTAGTTTATGGATTTCTTTTTGATTGACGACTGACGGTTTCAAGACCAAGTAAATATTGAAATTAGTTTACAATACTCGTATGTCGATAATATTTAGACAATTAGTGACCATATTTGAATTACTCCGTCAAAGTAAAATAAAAAAGTTCGTACTGTGTTTACCTTTAGATGCTGGATCTGTGATTATTGGTTGCTTTGGAATCGCCTATGGTTTCATAGGCATGTATTTCACCTTTTCAATATGTGCGCACTACAGCGATTGGAAGACTGTGTATATAAAAAAAATAGACTTGCTACTATGTTTATTCATATATTTCACATCATTAATTACAGTTTTTGTTTCAAGTATACTGTTGCTTATTGGGATAATTATACAAAAGAAAAGTTTCCTTTTGATGTACATTAGTGGTATATTGACCCATGTTGTAATCATTTGGTTAATGACAGTGTATGTATTTTTTTATTGTTTGTTTGACTCGTCGTGTTTCGAAGGCTCTGGCATAGGGCATGGTATTGTGTCCGTTATAATTAACATTTTTTATTGCACATTTTGGTTTTATTTATTAATATGTGTGAATTGTCACCGCAACATATTGTAGCCATGTACTCGTAGACCATCTCTCGTATATTAAATTACAAACTAAAACATAGAGATATTTGATTTTTTGTTCTTATCAATAATTATAACATCCCGCCAAGACGAGCCCTGCCCTTCAAGGGCACTATCTACCTCATCCCGAGGCGTTTTTTCGAACGCTCATATTTTGGGTTTCGTCACTGACTTACTGATGATCATCAAAATTCTTAGGGTACTTCCTGACCGCAGGCGACTCAGGCGCCGGAGGTCGCAGAACGACCTCCGTCCTCCATAAGCGCAGACCTGGGGGTGTCATCTGTCACCCTAGCAGAAGGAGGCCGGGATGGCGGCGAGCGCGTTGCGAATCGCGCTCGCTTCCAGGGAGCAGAGGGAACATGGGGTTCCCACACGGGGGGTGTCGTCTACTCGTCTGTAGATGGCCCGAGGTATGTCGGGGTACTAGGGACTTCCTTTCTAGGGTATACCTGGTTCCCCGGCTATTAGTACCCGAGACGGCCTGCGGTTTTAGTCGGTTCGAGGCCGACATGCCACCTGATAGGACCACCTATCAGGTGGCATGTCGGCCTCGAACCGATGTCGGAAATCCCCTCGGATACCAATCCGAGGGGATTTCCGCACGAAAAAAGAAAAAAAAAAAGTGTACTTCCAGAAGTCCTAGAAAGCTAAAATTTACTATGTAAGCTAGTATTAGTACAAAAAATTAGAGGGCGGAAGTTTGTATAATACTACCGGTTTTTTTTAATATTGATGTTATAAATCATTTATTATAACTATAACTAAAATATAACTTACTAAAAGAAGTGCAATCGCACCAAAAACATTTTTACGTAAAATGTTGCCCAAAACAAGACCATCACACTAACAAAAACTTATTAGATCTCATATAGAGGCAATCTCCTAACTCTGAACGCCTTAACTCTACAAGTCCTGACTTCACAAACGCTACACCGTAGCCAAAATACGTGGCTTGGTTTATTCGCTACCGACCCATTCCGCTAAAACAATTATTTACTTAATAATAATAATAATCAATTCATTACTTTATAACTCTCTGTTCATTACTTTTTTGTTTTACAATAGTTTGTGTGTGTTGTTGACATTGACAAAATTTACAGAGATTAGCATTAATTAGTTCTTGT